ACAGTCAAACGCTGCTTTCATACACAGATTTGCATTGTTCCAAAGCAAACGTACCCAAATTGGCATCACAGTTTGCAGGGTTGGAGACAAAATGTTGATGGCCATGGAGCTGAGGCCATGTCTGCTCCTGAAATATGCTGTACAAGCTTACAATAGTCAGCAAGGGGCTTGGTTGTGGCAGTACAAAGGAAGGTGTTTCTGCTTCTCTGCCTTCCTGGGCACACAGGGAGTGCAGAGGATGCAGTGGCAGTGCTTTGCACACCTGAGTGAATGAAGATGCATTTCTGTGTCATCTCACACATGCTCTAACCAGTGAGCATGCTAGATATGAGCAGAGCACTGGAGGTATGAGCAGAGCACTGGTTGCAGGGTTGGGACAGATTTCTTCCACTACCCAGGAGAACCGTAGAGTCATTATGCCTAATCTGCAAATAAAATTAAATTAAATTACTAGTTTCTTTGGCTGGGCTTGTCCATGCTTTCCTTGGGCTATTGATGTGAAAAGGCCAACTCCAACTTGGCTTCTGTATCACATTTTGTGTATTGTTTAGTTTGAATATCAAGTCAATATCAAGTCAATATCAATATGTAGTTTTGGCCAAAACTATAATGGTATGAATATCTGAATTTTGGTGAAGTTTATTAGTGAAAAACAGTACATTTAAATGTTTGCTTCCTCAGGTTTCCAAGTGGGCCTTATCAGAAGCTCATTGTAATCACAGAAGATACCATCGTGGGCTCCAGCAGGCCTGCTGTAATCAGTGCATGGTAGCATAGCTTCCATCAGACTGCATTTCTTGTCCTTTTTGGGGAAGGTACTGCTAATGCATCCTAAATTACTGAAATTTTCCTTAGTGTAAACTCCATAAACCAGAAGATAATAAAGGATAAATAACAAAAATTTTGCAATGAAGACTACTGTGTTATTAAGACTTGTGACTTTTTTTTGCCCTGAACTATATTCTAGATAAAAAGTTGTAGAAAATTCATTCATTCTCTCAGTGGCATTTATTTATGCAATAATGCATACAAAGCAATCTTTAACTATCACTGTATAGGATATCAAGTTATCTTTAATTATCACTACAGAATGGTTGCAAAATCAAATACTGTTGGCAATCAACATTCATTATACAATACCGTGATTTCATCTGTTCATATTACTAGATAAGCAAGGAAAATCAAAACAGTGTCTGATACATCTACTAAAACTGTCTGAGCAAAATATTGTATCTAACTCTCTTAATATCTCACAGTGACTTTCATCTGATTAAAGTCCAAAGATACATAACCACAGATGCAAATTTTCTAGTGCCTCTGAAATTAAATACTGTTATATTTCAACAGCCTAGATAGTTGGAACCATACTCCAGCTGACATGATTATAGGCACAGTATAAAGTTATGATAGAGAGCTGTCTAAATCTCTGAGGCCGCAGGTGCAGGATTATAGCAAAGCCCATTGAAACATACAGCTTTCTGCGTAAAAGCATGAGTATGAAATTAATTAGGCAGTTGATCACATAATAAAAGTATGATGGATAATCTAATGGAAACTACCAGCTCAAAGTCAATAACAAACTTGATTCTTTTATTAGATGCAGCTGATTTTCAATTCCTCTATTTACAGGATTTTGTGCTTAATACAAGACTTTATTATTATTTTTTTTTTAATGAGAACTCAGTGTATTTATCTCTGTTGGAAACTATAATATGCAAGCAATGTAGAATTTGTAGATAGACATATCTGTAAGTAAATCTCTAAGATACTTGGCTGAAAAGCACATCAAAGTGCAGTGAAATAATGAGACAGGCTCCAGCTGTTGGTTTCCAACAGCTTTTGATTTGTGCTCTAGTAGAAGCTCCAGGTTTTGATTCTCTGTTGATTATTTCCATGGTACTGGAGATGATTTGTGCATTATAGGCACAAATAAATAAAAAATAGGCAGTATATAGCAAACAAGGGTGAGTTTGCAAACTGCATTTGAAAGGACATTTTGCTTCCTCATATGTTACTGCTTCCTATTCCTGTGCTCTCCATAACCAGGTGCCCTGGTTGAAAAAGTCCTTCTAAAATGCATATGTAAAAGATTTTACAAAAATAATAGGTAAGATCATCAGAAAATAGTGTGAGCAAAACTCCAGGAATGTCAGTTTGCCGGCAGCTTTGCTACTTCCATCTGGTGTAGAGAGGCTACTGTGGAAATTGTTTTTTTCAGAGCCTTTGGAGGCTTTGCAAGTCGTACCATGAGGCTGATCCTGTCAAGGAATTATTATCAGTAGAAAGCAAGTGCCACTAAAGAACTTTGGAGGCCTTATAGAGGCCATGGGTTTAGAGTCAAATGCATTGATCATACTGCTGTGTGAATGTGCCAATGGCACTCTACAGATAAAGATCTTGCTCTGGAGCAAATTCAAAAAATCTGAACAGGTGATTTTCTGAATTACACTCCTCCCGACTTTTGTTTAGAATGACATACTAAAAGCCAGGAAGTTTCAGGAAAGTGTTGATTCTCAGTTGTTTCTAGAATTAAGGTTTACACCTGTTTCTAGTGTAAATTTTAGGAGTTTTTTATAATTTTGGTGATGGATTACATGAAGGCTGTTGCTTGTTATCAGAATGACAAAACTCAATCAAGCATAATGGAAAATGTTTATGATTTTTAAAGTTTACTCTTTTCCTGATGCAATTGGGTAGCTAAAGGTATGTGGATGGACCCACTTTCAGAGGTAGACACATGACTGAAGACACTGAAGTTCATGTCACAACAGCCAACTTTTACTGAGTGCTGTTCTCCTTACACAGTTTTGAAGGTCTGCGTGGTCAGTCCTGATTGACTGAACCACTTGCCACCTGGCCAACCAGTCAATAGCTTCCTGTGTCCCCAGGGGCCTAGACCTGCTCCCCAAAGGCCCAGACTGGTCAAGTTATATAATTAAGATAGTTATATAATTAGTTATATTTCAGTTATAAAATTGTAATTAGGATTATCTATGACTGTGAGGCCTCCAGGCCAGCTGCTATCCACCACATGGATGTTTCCCTACAGTTTAGCCAAAGCTACTTAAAAAGGTATTAAGAAACAAATCCTTTTTTTTAATGTAACCTGGTGTTTCTGTTGAAATGGATTTCTTATTAGAGCAGGTTTTCTCATAGGTTTTGAACTTCACTTACAAGATGATATCACAGTGGGCAAACTACAAATGCTATTTAATAGTAGCAGGTGGCTATATTTGATATGCCTGATTCAAGCATTCCCTTCAGAACAAGTCCATTGTAATTTCAGTATCAAATATAGATGCAGTCCAAGGAGCAGAAGTGAAATCACACATCTTACTGAATCTTGCATTATATATAGCAGTCTGGAAAATGTTTCTAATCAAAGATTGAAGGTGTTCACTATCATCTATTGGTAAATAGATAAATAGATAAACTTCATTGTCTGAGTGCAGTTTGACATCTGGAGTTTGAATCTGGTCAGATTAAACAAACCATTTAGTCCAGGTATCCCATGCCCTGTGTCTGTGTGCCAATTGCTAACTAGGCTCTAATTTACTAGTTGTGCATTAAAAAAGAGTTGACTGTTAAAACATTTTGTGTGGGCTCTGACTGAGCCCATGTGGAAGGGAACTGTGGGATTGATATTCCAAGAGGTCTAGGATAGATGAATCCCTAATTTCTCATGGATTTAGACCTCTACAAGACTTCAAACTCTGAGGTCCTGCCTCAAGCTTGAGAATGAGTGATGCAGAAATATGTGTCTAAAACTTTGGGAAAGCTTGAAAATAAAGGATAGATGGATAGAGGTCAGAGTAAGCAGATTTTTCTAAGACTAGTAATTGGGAAGACACATCTGTTGCAGATCTCTCTGCTTTGAGATGTGTTTAAATAGTGTGCTGTAAATATATTCATAATAGCAAAGAGAAGATGAAATCTATACCCTGCAATCCTTACATTTTTTACATTCTTTAGTTTCCATGTGTAATGTTGATTTATTATTTATTCGCTTGTAAATGTCTGACTTAAATATCCTAGAAAGAAGTCTTCATTCGATAGTAGTGCTTGTCTCTTTGCAGTTTTATTTATTTTCTTTTAGTCTTTGTAATATTACCATTTCCTTGTGAAATGTAAATTATGGTGAGGCTAAGAAAGAGATGAAGTCACTTAAGACATTTAGTCAGTTTTAGAACACGATCTTCAATCTACCTGATGGGATCTAGTACCAGTAAGACTTTAAAGAGTAAACTTTTATTTGTATATTTGCAAATTCACCCAGAAATTTTTAAAAAACTGATTTTTAAATATTTAAAAGAACATTCCTGTGGCAGTGTGTGCAACTGAGAGAACAAGAAATAGGAGGCATAGATTAGGTTCTACAAATCTTTGGGGCTGGTCTTTGACACTGGTATGTCTTGCATGCTCTGGGTTTTTCCTTTTTCCCATTGTGAAATGGGAACAGCAGCACAGTTACAAGTACTGGTTTGGTTGAGGTAGCAGCCAGTACCTCACTCTTTTTTTATGGCCACAGTATGGATGAGAAGAATCTTGCTGTTTCACACAGTTGCATCATTCTGTTACATCCAAGTTTGTAACCAAAAACCCTTCAAAAGAGCAGTGCTGTGAGTAAAAACATGCTCCTGTTTCTCTCTGGGCCCCTGTTATCCTGGCCCAACCCCCAGCACCAAAATACTGCACTCCAGCTGCTCCAGCAGCTGCCCGGGCAAGATCTTAACTCTTTAATACAGAGATGAGACCTACAGACCTACCATCCTCTCTCGAGTGCAAGAAAGGGACAGAGTGATAGACAAGCAGAGAAACAACATGGAGAAATCAAGATCAGACAAAAAGGAAGAGTCAAGTCCCAGACGGGATTGGAAGATGAAGAGATTCCTTAAGCTAAATTTCTCATGTAAGCTATGGTGATGGGCTATGGTATATTGAATATCCCTGTAAGTTGTACAAGAAGCATGGGGGTGGAGCATTCACATTGTAAATATGAGCAAAGGAATTCGTGCTGAACAAGCAGATGTTGAAGTATTTGTGATTTGATGGGAAGTTTGAACAGAGAGAGAGGAGTGATGAAGACCCTTTGTCACCAGGGAAGACCTCTCTTCCCAGATAGTTCTGAAGTTGATCTCAGAAACAGATTGAAGAGAACCTTTGCTTCTGAACAGCTCATCCTTAAAAGAGTACCCCATTAGCTAAAGAGTGAGCCCTCAAAAACAGTTGTGAGGAAAGCTGTAAGTCACGGAGAGGGACGTTTTACACAATGATCAAATTTCCATTCTCCCGGGCAGCTCATTCACTATAACATTAAAGTCACAAAATAACTATTTTCTTATAGAAGAGTTTCCATAACATAAGGAAAGAGACTTTGCTCCCTAAGTAAGCTAGAAAAACACAATTTACAAACAGTAAATTGACTAATTTGTTTCTGTATGTTATCAGTGTGAGAGAAAAGAGGGTGTAGAGGGGAGGAGAAGTATTTTGGAAGTTTTATTCTGATTCTTATTTTTTAGTTTCTGTTAATAAAGTTTTTTTTGTACCCTTTAAAGTTTAACCTACTTTGCTTTTTCTCCTAATCCTATCTCACAACAAGAAATCTGTAAATAATGCTAGTGAGTGCACTAGGGATTTAGCCAGTGCTAGACCCAACACATAAATTAGTGCATAGGCCAAGAAATCTCAAATTAGCAAACCAAAACTACTACACCATTGAAAAGTACATCAAGCTCACCCTTGTGCCATTATTAGATCATTTGAAGCCCTAATCAAGGACACCAAAAGGCATTGATAACATTCAAAGTCAGCACAGTCTTTGTGCCAACAAGGAGAAGCTGTCAGAACAGGTCACAGATGTGTGTCTAAACTAGCAGTACAGAAATTGATTTCAGGTTTAAACTCGTGGTTTTAAGGGTTAAAACTAATCATCTATGCACTTTTAATACCGTTTTCCTTGAAAGAAATGGATCAGCTATATCTCTAAGTTCCATTGACAGCCTGTGAAGGAAGCAGTGGTAGCCTGCACACTTGTGCTAAGCCCATTTTGGCACCAAGATTTGTCAGAATGGATTACTAAGTGACATCAAATTGCACTGAATATTAAGATGAAAATAATGCATATGCTATTGGGATATGCCTACTGAACACTTTGGGTGCCACTCTAGATACACAGTTTTTCTTTTCTAACCAAATCTTTGGTTTGATATTTGTAGATGTTGTTGTTTCCATACATGGTGTGTAAATGTTAAATGCAGCACTTATGGTAAGTGACTAAAACATTAAGGAACATGCCATTGTAGAATATGGCAAATGCAATATGAGGTAATGAATACATCAGTGTAGTAATACAGCGTAATTTTCAAGATAAAGGTTTTTTATCAGGAGAACTTAAAGCAAATCACTGGGCTAGATACATAGAAAAACAATAAACTACTTTTTATTAAAAAGAGCTGAATTAATCAGATTTATGCCTTATCTTTAATAATTGAAAGCAACAAGACTGAGGATTTGTGTTCTCAAAGTTCTAACTAGTCAGTAATATCAGCTATAATACTCCAATTTTAAAAATTACCTTTAAAGATGCTCTGTAATATTAACTTTTAATGAGTGGTAATAAATGATGATACTTTCCATAGGAAGAAATGCAACACCTGCCTGAAACTTTTGCTGTCTGTCATCAGCTTTAGTACTGTGTTGTGTACCCTTTTTTTGTATTTTCAAATATGGGAAGTATGATGATGCCACAGCACTTTAGGGAAATGAAAATACCTTTAATAGTACACTTTGTTCAAACCATCTTTTTGGCTGAACAGTGGTGTTTCTATTGCTTCCATTACGCTTTTCCTGAGAAGTACTTCTTTTTTAGTAATAGTATTTCAAGGTTCTGACATTTTCCTGCTCAATTCCTGCATTGAAAAAGTACTGGCTGGCTGAAGAATAATTTTGGATTAATTAGAAGTATTAAAGCATAAGCGTGTACCTCTAAGAAAAATTATACTGGCTTTTCCAAAAGAAAAACCCTGAAAGCTAGTGGCCCTTCAAGGATTAATAAAAAAAAAAAAAAAAAGTTTTATGAGAGATGTGAGGAGAGCAGAAGGGGAAGAAAAGAGAGAGGAGGAGAAAGGACTGGCAACTTGCATCATTAAATCAGTAAACGGTACTAGAATATCAGCCTCCCTACTATCAGCAATGATTGGAATTAATCCAGGAACTCAGAATGGATCTGTAAATGTGTCTTCAGTTGTAGCCTTTGGCATGGATTTACATTCTCAGTCCCTTGGGCACTGAATTTCATTTCCCCATTTGCTAAATGAGAACAATTTATCCTAAATCAACGATAATCAGAGTAAACACTATTATTAATTTATTGTTTCCAGACTAGGAAAAAAACAGTAAAATGAAGCTCTCTACTTTTATCAGTGCTTTCCCTACCCCTTTTGCCCTGAGGATCCTATTAGCAGAAAGCTGAGCAACTCTGTTTCATCAGAAATAAATTATGCCTCACTTTTTTAATGTAACTACTGAAGGGTTGTAAAGATTAGAAATACGTTTGAACCCACTATCACTTGATGTTATTTTCCTTGATGTTCTGAGCTTCTTTAGGGGAATGAAACAACATGTTCTTCTGAAAGCCAAGAGCAGAGCTTTTATAAAAGAACACCAGCACAGGTTTTGGTTGATGTACAAAATCATTTCGATTCTGTACAGCAATATTTAAAGTAATGTATAGGCAGTTTGAATCAGAGCTGCCATAATTCCTGGCATGTATAAGAGGCAGAATGTTTGCAGGGCAAATAGGTGCCAGAACTAGTCAACCTCGTTTTTAAATGATTAGAAAACTGTAATTCCCCAGAAACAGTAGACTAATTCTCACTTTCTTCACAAAAGAGCTAAGGATGAAAAAACACCTTTAATTAATAAACACTGCTGGCACTACTTTGGTAACAAGCTGCTGTAAATGAAACTCTTAATTGCCTCTGAATACAGTATTGTATACAAATTCATGTTACTCTTTAAGTGCTGGTCTTTGTTATTGCTATTTTACATTTTTGTAGGAAGTAAAAGTAGCTTTGTCAACCTCCTTGTTAAACTGAAAGAATTTCCTGAGCTTTCCATTTGTGATGATCACTGAGCTTAAAAATTCACCCAAAATACTCTCTCATGATAGCTAGAAGACACAGCTCTCAGCACAGACTAAGTCCAAGCTAGATTAGGCTCCTTATGATGCTTCTGATGCTTCTGATGTTAATGAACCTTAAATCTGCAACGAAATTTTATGATGAAGGAAAATATTTTTAAAAATTAATGACTTGCAAAATAAATATATAAAACAATATATTTGTATATTTAAGATTTTGGCACAAATCAAGTATTTTGGACTGTTCTACAAAGCTATGTAAATACTTTTTTTTCATCGTAGGATGTATTCTGAGATGATTTATTTTCTTAATTTAATCTTAACTTTTTTTGGCTGTAACTGTCAAAGACTCTTTGATATAGGCAGGATTGGTGAAGAAAAAACCAGAGAAAATCAGGATAAGAGTATTTTGACTCCGTGCAGTCATGAGCCTTTGATTTTTTAATTCCTGGAACTCTTATTTCCATTATTGGGAGTTTTGGAAATAAAATGTTGTCAACGTTTGTAATTTGTGAAGCATACTTGCCTTGGCACCATAGGAAAAGGTATCCAGGTCAATCCATGCTTCCATGCTTAGGGACTGAAGACACAATAAAGAGGATGTCTTACATAGACATGTTCAGATCTATTGCAATGATTTTGATTATGGGAAAATTTTTATCAAGTTGTAGAATATTGTTCAACTTTTTTTTACTATGTCATATTTAAATGCTTGTGAAAAATGCTTAATTTAGGATCCATCAACTTTAACCTGATGGTGGCATCTAAAATAAGCATTCTTTCTTTTTAGGATTACTGAATGAATGAATAGTCACCAGTCTTGAAAAGAACAGAAGACGACACTGGTAAGTAGTCAGATACTTTTCAATCCGGAGTACAGAAGGAAAACATGTTTGGAATAGTTACATTTCCTTGGTTTGATGGTCTAAACAGTTCCACAGAAGTTATTTCAGCTGTTTAGCTAAAGCCTCTGGGATGTACTCAGAGCCCATACAGACATGAGGATTCTTGGTGTATTTTGTTGGCTAATTTTTTTCTGTGTGGACTTTGGGTTCAGATGCTAAATGGATTATGAGGTTCAGCCTTTGCAGAAGGAGGCACTTGTACTCAGTAATAACAGTCTGACAGAGGGGTTTAGAAGGGGATGAACAAGTATAAAGATGTAGCACTATTGATTCTTTGGGTGAACTTTAAACTATTGGGTGAAATTTAATTTAAAAAAAAAAGAATTTGAGGACATTTTCAGTTTAAATTTATTGGATGAGACTATGAATGTTCTTCTGGCACAAAAGACAACCTTGCCAGCCAAGAGATCCAATAGCTTCTTGTTTGTAAATGTCATCCACTAAGAGTATTTCACAGTAATAGGACTTGAGAGGACATCCAGGCTCCCAGGCAAATCTCTACCTCTTGCACCTCCCTTTAGATGCTGTCCAATTACTCAGAAGTCAGCACACAGATTGGAGTAGTACTGCTCATTTCTGCTCCAAATGAAGTGCTTTGGACAAAGTAGAGCAGATGCAGCCCCTCTGAATTCCCACAACAGATGGAAGAAGCAGTTCTATTACAGAATATTCTGGGAACGTTGAGTTATGACAGATTTAGCTTTAAATCCTGACTTTCAGGTAGGCAGAATAAGCTTTAAAAATATATTCTCCAGTCATCTAGAAGCAGCTTTTTGACCCTTAATGTTACAAGGTGAGATAGTTGCACCCCAGTGTTTGATAGATTGCTCTTTGTACAAAATACGTAATATTTGCTAATAAGAAAAAAGTAAATTAATGGGACATTTTACATTCTGATGGTTTGAACATAAACTTCTGGAATGTGAGGAAACAGATGAATAACCATTGAGGTCAGATAGAACATCA